GTGGGGGGTGGGATAAGGGGGGGCAGATATATACAGGCTACCCCACCCCACTCCTCTCCCTCATCTCCCTTTGTAAATTGCTGTTACCTTCTGCCTGTAAGATAGCATATTTTTATTTCATTTTAGTTTTTTTCTTGAAGATATTAGCTCTACAGCTACACTGAATTTCAAGCTTAAATAAAGTATATTTATATGTATGTATGGCTCCTATTTCACTCACACTTCCCTGTTCTTGCTTCCCTTCTTAGAAATGGGAAATGATTGCTTCAAAGGCTTATATGATGGATAATATTTCTTTATTTATTCAGTAATGCTTTGAAATATGGGTTTAATTAATTACTGAATCTATCTTTGAATAATTTATTATGTTTAAATGAATTTTATTTAAATTAATTTCTGAAAAAAAGATGTCTAACTAAATTTATGGCTGTGTGATCAATACTTAGAGCAGTATTGCTGGGCAACAAACAAACAGAATGTTGCAAAGTGGAAAACAACAAAAAGTGGAACTTGAGATGTTTGAAATGCAATTTCTGTTGAATTCAATAAATTTTTTAGTGAAAGATGGGAATTTTTCTTTTTATCTTTCCCAAAAAATGTTCTTTTAACTTGCATTAAAATTCAGGGATTTCCAATGAAAACAAATCATCTGCAAAAATGGCTCTGTCTTTGCTTCCTGTACTGATTCCATCAATTAAGGATGGCAGTTAAAGCAAAAACCCTTTCAAACTTTTTTTCAGTCGCCCCATTGTTAATTCTTGACTTTTTAAGCCTTGGAAGAGAAACTGAAATAATTAAAATTTTGAAAAAAAAAAAGGACAAAGAAAATCATTGAAATGTTCCAGATTTCACTTACGCACGTTCTGCGAAGTATACTTCCCTCTCCCATCTCATTCTTTTGTAATGCGATCAGGACCTTCTATTCATAATTGGACAAAAATGTGTGTTAAATTCTTGGGACATTTGTTAAAGCAGCCTTTCGCCTTGTAAAGAGAGTCTTTCAAAGAAAACACTTTTCAACCAATCATGTAACCGATCACGCGATCACGTGATTGACGTATATGGCGGGCCTTCCCTTCGTTGCCTCGTGCTAATAATCGACCGATTCGTTTGTTGTCGGGCAAATAAATTGAATTCAAAGCTGTTTGATAGACGAAAGGTAGCTGGACGATACCTTTGGGCATAATTTTACAGAGTAAGACTTTTTAACGCTCGAAAGCCCTTAAGTTTAACGTTGAAATGACTTAAACTTCGATATTTCAGGTATATATTTTGACGATGGCGTTGTTTCGTTCTAGGTCGTCCACAGACCGAAGCGTCCTTTGTGGGAGTAAGCGATCATGTCTTTTGAAGATGCTGGTGATCTGGCATCCTTTGCTGCCATTGCTGAGTCGGCGACTGCTAATAGAGAAGGTAAGATTAAAAGAGTAAAAACCGCGACTGACTTTGATAATTGATTGTCGAGCAAGCCAACTCTTGCCTCGCTCGGTGATCGAGATGGCGAACATTTCGTCATCGTATTTCGCGTTAATCATTCATAACAACAACCCACTTTTCTCGTGAAGATCTTGCACTGTTTGGGAAGATGTCTTGCAAGAAAACTATACGAAAAGTGTTGTTGTTATCCGGTACCCAGTCCTTCCTCTAGGAAGCAAGTCTTTCCCAGGTCTTCAAAAGATTGAAGAGTTATGGCGGTCGCCCCAGACTTCTTTCTCTACAATAAATATCTTTCCCCAATCTTTCTCAATCTTACAAACAAGTGGAGTATTTCTGTCTGGTAATGAACGTCATTCTGTGATGGATGAATTACCCTGACTTTTCACCGACACTGTTGTGTTATATTTCATTATCGATGCTGTTGTCGAAGGTCCTTCTTCAACTGTCTTCGTTCTGCATGATGCTCTGTAACACTTCAAGTTGAAAAGGACGGTTTCAGACATCAATATTTGTTCGACAGGAGAGAAATCATTCTTATTTTACACTGACTTACAAACGTGAGAGTTATGCTTTGATGTCGAAGCTTTCCATAGCTTTCTAAAATGGCAATTAAATGCAAGGTTATACAAGATGGTGGACGTGTATTTTGCGCCATTTTCTGAGAGGAAATTTGCATAACGTAGTGAAGGAATTTGCATGTACAACTCACCAACTTGATCATCGAAGTTATGCATGTTTCCAAGATGTAGTTATGTTATATTTGCGGCCTCCAGAGATATCTAAGTTTAAGAGGAACGAGAAATGTCTTATTTCTCTGTAACTTCAAACAGGTAAAGTGTATACGAGTCATATTGTGCTGATTAAGTGCTTTGTTTCTGTTTAAAATACAATAAATCTAGTCAATTTTGACTTCCATTTGCATTCAATGAGTGGCCATGGATTTAACTGTTTCTGAGGAATTTTTTCTTTGGGCATCTAGTTGTAGTATTATCAAATTCAAAAGGCTTTACTTTTAGAGGAAGGTTTTTTTCATCCAAGCCAAATAGATTTGTTTTCAAATGATGAAATTCAAAGGTTAAGATTCCTTTTTAAATTTCTCTAAACCGGTTTACTTTTTCAGTAAAGTTCGATTATAACAATTAGGTTTATTCGAGCTTATCTACCAATGCTGCTGTCTTTGGAATAATTCTCCAAGAACCATTACTTAATTACTAATCACTACTTTGGGAAAATGTAACATAAAGTTTAATGCTGCTTTAGCTTGCTTGAAATTCAACAAGAAAGCACAAAAAAGGAATAAAAATGTGACTTGTCCTATAAGTAATTGCTCAGTCATTATACAGAACAAAATTTAATACATTTCTAAATAATGTAGATGATTGAAATAAAAATGTCTGGTATTCACTGGAATGATGTACAACTGTTTTACTCATACAATCTTTTGACTCTTGAGATTCTTTCAGTGAGTTAAAATGTTGGCACTTTCTTTGTTACACAATTGGATTGCTTATTTCCTGAGTTGCAGGAGGGTCCTTGAACCTTACAATAGGTCTGTGTTTTGTATATGTCCCTGAAATGGATTAGCATCACATTCAGAAAAAATAGTAGTGCTCCTAGATTCATCATGCTCTCAGGATAGCCTGTTCCCCCCTTCCACCCCCTCTCCACCTCTCTGTCTTTGGGTTGAAAGGAAGAACAAGACAAGAGCCTCGGCAGAAATGTGTGTAGTTGTGAGTGGTTTGCATGACAATGCAAGTTAACAAAGATGGCTTCAAGGTTATTGGAAAATGAAAAAAATAAAACTGTCCTAGAGAATTGTTACAAAATTTGCAAACAGTTATTATTATATAGATACTGATGAAATACCAGGATTTTTCCTTTTACTAAAAAATCATATCTTCATCATGCACAATGAAGATACTATTTTTTTCTTTCATGTGTGAGGATATTGGTATCACTATGGTTACTAACATAATTAGCCAATTACAATAGAACCTCCCACTCAGGCGTGCAACCAGTTCTTTTAAAATTTCATCAGTGTAAATGAAATAAACAGAACATTACATGGCCGCTTGGGGATACAAATTTTATCTTCTTGTGCTGAAAGTATCTCTCATGAGTGAGAGTAATATCCTTAATATCCTTACTAATATCCTTATCCATGTAATATCCTCTATTTAATTAGCATGTGTTATGAAAGTTATTAAATTTTCATTGGGATGCCTGTGGATCCCTTTCTGGCCCTCTGTAATACATGACAATTGCCGCTGCCATTGAGCCTTCCTCACCTTAACCCTTTACACCCTAATATCAGTATTCATATTCTCCATACTGATCTCTGCACATTAACTGATGTGCTGACCAGGAGAATTTGGCTAACAATCAAGAGGTTCTTCAGTTAGTTATCATTTTCTTGATTCTCATGACCTTGATGTTTGATTTATGGGTGATACTGAATGGAGAAATTAGATGCTAGTCACTCAGGGGCTAAAGGCCTAAAGGCCTGAAGTTCGGGTATTCACAGGCTACAAGAAATATTGGAATCAATATTTTGTTGATTGTTGTTCAGAAATGGGGGAAACCTCTGATGAACTTTGTAGTAATAATAAATGGTAAACAGGGTTGTGTCTTCTCTGTTGTCCTACTAAATTTGACTGCTCACTAAATAAAAAATGTATTTTAACCCATTTTTTTTTTTACACATAGAGGAGACTGCTGAAGCTAAGGAAGAGCCACAGGAAGTAAAGGAGGAGGATGCTGCCAACAATGAAGGAGGCAATGCTAGTGAACCAAGTGAAGTAGCTGCTGCTGAGGCCACAGACAGCAATGCCTCTGAATTGACTAGTGAGCAGCAGCGTACTTATGCAAATCTCCAGCCAATCTTTCTTGCCATGGAGATGGGACAGGAGGCAGTTAACCAGGATCAGGAGCAGGGTCAAGAAAGTGCTACTGTAGAGATTGGACAGCAGCAAGCCACTTACATTGCTACTACCAGTGAGCAGTTCACTCAGCCTTCCCAAGCTGCTAGTATGCTGCTCACTAGTGCAGCCACCTCAGGGGCAGAGACTCCAGCCTCTTTGGCCTCGATTCTACAAGATGTTGTATCAGGAATGCAGAGTGGAGCAGGCTCTGTTCCAGCTGCTATCATCACAGATCCAAACTCTGGAAGTGGATCCTTCCTAATTGTCAATCAAAATGGTGTACCAATTGTCCGACCAGTTCTTGTTTCAAATCTTCCAGCTGGAGGGGTCGGCCAAGGAAGTGCTGTGAGTGTGTCTGCTGAAACTCTGCAGGTGTTGACGGCAGGTCTTCATACTGTTGATGATGGTTCTGGAGGAAGTGGCCAGGAGACAGTGACTGTTGATGTTAGTGCTGAAGCTGAAGGTACATTTTATCTTATGGCTCTTTTTAAATGGAATTTTCTTACAATTGTACAAAAGTGTTTGGTGTTTCATTGAGGGGGAATTGCTCTTCATAAATGTAGTTTAGACATAACAAATTGTAAATATTTCCAAGCAAAACTCTAAGATCTCAGGTTATTTTGTCAATCAGAAATTTACCCTTCTAGCTACTATACATTTCGAGGTAGTTCAGGGTTGAAAATTAAGGTTTTCAGTATACAAATTGCTTTGCTAATACAGTGTCCCTCTTTTCAAGATAGAAGCAGTAAAATTTACCACCCATAGTACCCCTATTACCACCTAAAATTGCTTGGAATTCCTTAAATTCAACTGGTAAAAGGATTGTATTACCAGTTTGAAAATTTCTTTTACCTGTTGTATGGTAATATATCCCCATTCACTCTAACAAAAGGGCTAATGCTCAAACATCATTAAGCTTTTGAAATTCTTTACGGTGGCCAATTTTACGTCATCAACTCAGTTGATAATACTAGATTGTCTTGAACACTGTAATAATTTTCTAAATTCTCTGTTTATGTCTGCCTGACAATGTATCAATATTTTAAGGGGGAATGATTCTTGTAGGTTCAAGTGGTGCTGGTGAGTTGTCAGTGGAGGCCACTGTTGATATTGGTGCAGATACTGTTGCAGTGGTAGCTGGAGCTCAGGCTGTGGCACAAGGTGACAATGGGGCTGAACTGGAAGAAGGTGAAGAAGCTGTTGGAATACAAAGTAAGGCATGTTTCACTCTGAATTACAATCAGCAAGCATGATATTACAAATATAAGGCACTTGTAGGCTGTATTCCAGGCAGTTATTTGAGCACAAACAAAGCCTTAATTTGTGTCAGCCATAATAGATGTGAGACAAATTCTTGCACGTCAAAAACTGAAAAATGTAGAATGTATGCCACACATTATTCTGTCCTCTCAGCAAGCTGATTGATTTAAGTGGTTCATCATTTTCAGCTTAGCTCCCTACCTATATTACATTGCAAAACAATGATTTTACTCACCGTGCAGTACATGTAAAAGAATATATTACCAATTTCTTTATTGTTAACTGTGCAGAGCCCATTGCCACTAGGGCACCAACAGGGAAGCGCAAACTAAGTGATGGTCCAAGGGTCTGTGAACAATGTAACAAAAGCTTCAAGTATCCTTCAGATCTGAAGAAACATTTGCAGATTCACACAGGTTAGTACCATAAAAAGTAGTACTTCTCTCACAGTTTGCAATGAGAAGTGGACTTGTGTATTCTGCATACCCTGACACATAAAACAATCTGTAAACTTCAGTAAGATTTAGAAAATTATAGTCAGAATGTGCTATGAATTTTGCTATCTTTAGTGTAGTTGTTTGTCACTACCCATCTTCACTTAGTATGTTTGTGTCCAGCCAACAAAGTCTAAAAGGAACAGTCACCCAAGGGGAGTCCCCAAGAAAGTTGGGATCTTCATATCAATTTTCCTTACTTCTTCTTCTTATAATTTTTGCTTGAGAATTTGGTGTCCAATCACACTATATTTGTATCTTTCTCTGGCTGACTAACTGATTACTCAGGGAGGAGATGGGAAGTGCCAAAGGAATTTTTGATCTTTATATCCTTACTTTCTGCTATTATTATACATTACTCATGATTTTTCTTTTGAGATTTTGGTGTTCAATCAATTACACAGTATCTTGTAGTTAATATTTCTCTCTCGTTTCATCACCTCTCAGCATGACAATTTATTAATTTTGAGAGTAGTTACTTATCTGCCTCTTCTTGGAGGGAAAGGGTTGAATTGTTGTGGATACTCATAAACAACATATGACAAAGCTAAGAAACATGTATCATTAGCATAAAAAATTCCCAATGCTGTTTATCACTTCGTTCAGATTTAACCTGCCTTGTCCCGTTTTTTTGTGTGTCTTTAGATATAAAGAAGTTTAAGTGTGAGGATTGTGGAAGATTCTTCCGTCGACTTCATCAGCTCAATGTTCACCAGAGGATTCATTCTGGGGAAAAGCCATACGTCTGTAACAGGTTTGTGTGTCTGAGTGTGATTCCTATTCTACTTTTATTTAAAAGTATACATACTTACATACTTACTTACATACCTAATTCAAGGTATCAAAGGTATCCTAAAAAAAAGAAAAAGGAAATAATGCCCTGAAAAAGAAGTTAAAGAGTTGGACCCTATTTAAATTAACTTCCTGAATTAAAAGTTATAAAAGGATGTATACCAACTGTAATGAAGTACAGCTAATCAGTAATACTATTGTTTGTATCAATTCCACTGTTTCTTTGTTAAAATTATCCTGTTAGTTCTGTGAAATGGAACATTGAAACTTAATGTTTGTTTTTTTGAAGGCTAAGAGTAAGCGAAGATTTCTATTTAATTTGTAATAAATTATAGAAAGGTTTTTTTTCTGAATGAGAAGTTCACTCATGAATCTGTTATTAGCTTTCTTCCTTTTTTAACCT